TCATTCATTCATTCATTCATAAAATGTTTCAATTTATTACTTCCATTGGCAAAAAATTATTTCCCTTCCCTTATTGATATTTGTATACGTAAAATTATTTATTTGTGTCGTTGCTTATAATTTATGAATATTTTATTACAAAGCCAATTTGTTAAAAAGCTTTTCGCATTTAAAATAATAAAAAATGTGAGTGAAACGCAGTAATTTCAGAAACAATTTACTATAATTACTGCGTGTTGAAGTACAGTGATGTCATGTATTCAACAAACATTCGATAACTTCAACGATTGCAAAGATTACAAATTATTCGCCAAATTTTCATTAACTCTCACACTGCTATTTTCGATTACAATATTACTTTGTTAAATTACTCAGAGTAATTTATTTTTCTACAGCTTAAGATACGTTCAATTCAATTTTTATGCAAACATATCGATCGTACTAATTTTTGAATTGTAATTTTCATAATCATAGCAGACAAAGGTTTTTTAACTTTTAGCCATCAGAATGGATAAATTTGATTCACGTAATTACTTATTAATAACAATAAAGTTCAAAAAACGATTGCGTGCTGCTGAAATAATTACGTGGGGGAGGGCAAAGGAGGGGAGGGGGAGGGGTGGTGGAGAACAAGTTTAGAACTACTTCTTCAAACACACTTATTGTCTTTTGCTGTGTTTATTTGCCGTTTATTTATAATTCACTCGCATTACTTAGACAAGAAATTATTCAAATCTTCATAATTTTAAATCAAAAATATCTCTACAATTTAATTACTCAAAAAAAAGCACATGTTAAAGTATATTTTGGCAAGTTTCTTTGTACAATTTCTGTTTTTCATCACAAAGTCAGCAACTTTTCGAAACACAACAAAGACGAGTAAAGCACGCAAGCACCCTCCACTCTCGATTCCATTAAACAAACAATTATGCACAAATAAGATTTACAAAGTTCTTTCTACATTAATTTATTAAAAATTAAATTATGCAACAAATAATAATGAAATGCTTTTGTATGCAAATTTTTAAGCACTTAGCTTGAAATAATGCATTTATGAAATTTCATCTAATGCAAAATTATTTGAAATTATTTTGAATTGTAGTATTAAATATTCACATCGAGAAATATAATGCAATAACAATTTCTCTGCTGCCACACTTGCCCATATTCATATTATTTATTTAAAAAGCATTCATTTTGAATTCAAATGAGTTTCAGGAGGTGAAAAAACAAGCATGAATAAACACGTAAATTATTGCGAAGAAAAGAAAAATGAGTACTTAAAATAGTGATTATTTTAATATAAAATTATGAAAAAAGGAATATTTAACAATAATAAGCATTATTTAATACGAAATGGAAATGTTGTATACAATATGAATGCAAAATGTGAGATAGAATCCATTTATGGTGGTTATTTTAATTCACTTACAATGATAAAGACTTTGAAATGTTTTGAACAAAAGAAACATATTTTAAAAGACTTGAAAAATTGAAAAAAAACAAAAAACAAAAACAAAAACAAAGCAAAACAAAACAAAGCAAAACAAAACAAAACAAAACAAAACAAAACAAACAGAGTTTACCTAACACTCGCAGCAGCACGCATTGTACACTTCACGAAGAATACTGAATGATGCAAAGAAAATGTATCATTTCTTTAATTTCCATTTTTAATTCTTTGTTTCTGTTCAAATTTTTGTACAGTAATTATTTTGTATCCATTAATTTCTTGCTGTCTGCATATACAAATTATTGAGAGTATTTTGATTTTGATTTGGTTATATTTTCTGATTACACATTTGAATATGACAAAAAGAAGCAAGGCTGTTATTGAAATCTTGTAATACTGCAATAATTTTTTATTAAATTCGTAAAATAAATGCTAAAACGTGAAGTATACGTGAATTTTGTATGAACAAAAATATCGATAGGATTAATTTGAATTTTTTCATCTACATCGATACTGATTTCTATCAAATTTTGTATTAAAGAAAAAATATTTTGAATTAAAAGTGTTAATAATGCAAAATATTCATTTATACACATGACAAAACAACTGTAAAATTTGACTTGTTGAATTTTTATCACATATTTTGATAAAATGTGATAAATAAACAAGATTATGCATTAAAATGTATAATATCTGTATAGACGTAGAAAATATTGCATGCATTTTGAATAAATATAATTAATTGAGTACACAAATAAGTAAATGAATGAATGAATGAATAACTGAGTGACTGACTGAACGAATGAATGACTGACTGAACGAGTGAGTAAGTGATTGTGTGTGAACGAGTGAATGAATGAATGAATATACATGAATGAGTAGTGAGTGACCTGCAGTACATCATTGTCATACTTTTCTGCTTGCAGCGCTCAGTCAGTAGTAGGTAATCAGTCACCTCGTAAGATTGGAAACGTATTCACCGCAAGTAGTGTCACCCTGCGAACCCGAACCGACCCACAACCACTTAACCGCTCATTTATTTATTTATTTATTTATTTATTTATTCATTCATTCCCTTGTTCATTAATTCAGTCGTTCGTTTATTCATTTATTTGTTCATTCACTCATTTATCCATCGATCCATTTATTTATTAATTCATTCATTCGTTCGATCGTTCACTTATTCCCTAATTCTTCTTTTCCTCTTACTAGTTTGCATGTGTATGTGTGTGTATGTGTGTATGTGTAAGTGAGTGTATGTACGTATGCATGTGAGTGTTATTGCTGTCAACAATAATTCGTATTTATTGAAATAGTTTCATCTTTGGGTCGTTGACGACGACGGCAACGACAGCAACCACGTCTGTAATTGTTGCTACAACTAATACTACTACTGCTACCACTACTACCATTACTACCACTACTACCATTACTACCATTACTACCATTACTACTACTACTGTTACTACTGTTACTACCACTACTACTATTACTAACACAAAACAACAACAACAACAACAACAGTAACAACAATCACCATCGCTACCACTTTATGCAATACAACAGATTCTTGCATTGGTTCTGTGATTCTATCATTCATTTATTTAATATCTCATCAGGCCCGAAGGCATCTGTCTACCTTTCTCAGTAATAATCATTTCATCCACTTTGTTTTATCACTGATAGCTGCTCATTAATTCATACATAATTAACTGAGCTAAATACAGTTCAACTCAAAATTGAACGAAATTCATTTTGACCTAATCATTACTATCACTACTACTACTACTACTGTCACCACGACCATTAGAAGCATAAATAACAACTACCACTGCTATTTGCTTGCTTCATGATATATCGCTTTCCTGGTAATATCTTAAAGCGTACTTAGTCACATTTGACTTATATCAGGTGATATTTTACCTGCATCTATTATCAGTATTTCATATCTTTTCAGTTAATGAAAGTTAAATAAACAGGTGAGTCATACTCATTTCTCTTACTCGTGTTATCATTTGTTATCATTATAGTTATTTGTTATAATTATTAGCAATAGTACTGTTATTTTTGGTATCAATGTTGGTATTGCGGTAACACGTATTGGACTGATTGCTGTTCACTTCACTTTTGCATTCATTTTTCTTAATCCTTTTCAATTAAATCACAATAATTAATTAGAGATATCGTATCGTACTAAATCTTTCATTACTCTCTAAGCTCATGGTACCTTGTGCGGAAGGTGAATCTACTATTAATTCACCGTATCTTGTTCCTTTTGCCCTAAGAACATCGGGTTGTAATGGTAGTCAAGAGCAAGGATCTGATTCTGCGCCTGTACAAACTATCGCTTTTACTATAATTCAGCATCAGTGTAGTACTGATAATTGCAAGGATATCTGCATTGAAGAATTAGATGTGCATTCTTTGGGATTACAAGCTGCTCTTCATAAGGTAACTAAATTTTTCTCGCTTAAAATTTTTTATCTAATTGACGTAATCATAAGTATTTCATTTCATATATCTTTTCCACTTTATTTTATATTCTGTTCTGTAATGTTTTATATCTAATAAATAATCAGAACAATTTATTAATCAGTCACTAATTGATAATTTAATTGTAAAAGTTAAAGATATAATGCGTAAATGTTTATTCAGAATAATAATAACCTTTATCAGTAATAAATACTTCAATCTGTAGAAAAGTTTGTGAATTATTGTACTGTTTCTTTTTAAAAATGTACCATTTAATTAAAAAATTAATTCAATTTGTGATGTAATAAGTAACTGAATAATTAGATTTTAGTACAAAAATATGGATTTTTCCAGCATTATTACAGTGCTTGTCATAATTTTAGCAAATTATACTTTGTGTTTTTCAAATATTACAACATTTTTTGTGCAAAAAAGTGAATGCAAAAGTTGCTGACCTTCATTAAATCACTCATTCAATCCATAAATGAATTCAATGTAGCAAAATGGTTGAACTGAATAATTTGAAGAATAATAGTATTATTTTGTTCCTTTTTCAGCTTTGTAATACTTAAATAATTAAAATTTTGCAAATTTTTTTACTTCTGTAATGGCATTTTTTTCTATTTTACTTCGCAAAAATGCGTGTTTTTTTGTTTTTTATTTTTTGTTTTTCGCTTTTTGTAATTAAATTTAAATAAAAATGAATTTGAATAATTTTTCTTTCTCTAAATGCAATTTGTGTGTGCTCTTTGAATGAATTTTTTACTTTATCAGACATATTTATGCTGTTTTATTTTTCAAATTTCCTACCCATTCATTCACTCATTCACTCATTCATTCATTCATTCACTCATTCATTCATTCATTCATTCATTCATTCACTTACTTTCTTGAATTTGAATGCATTTTTGTAATCGTTTCATTCACGTATTGCTTGCAACGTAGTGCTATTATTTAGCCAAAGCTTTTAAAGTTTTGAATTTCGTTAACTTCTATTATTTCTCTTTTTAGTACTACTGGCTTTTTGTAGACAAGATCGAAGATTATAATCTGCTTGTTATTGTGTGTGTGAGTGAGCCTCTCACCAATTTTCGATTATAAAATGCATCTAAAAATTTATTGCATTTTATTACTTAATAATGTATATCCATGATAACTATAAATAATAGCTGTAAGAAGTAAATATATTTACATAATTTGTTGGTACAAATGTGATAGTAATTAGTCATAAATAATAGTAATAATGATAATGATGATAATGATAATAATAATAATAAAATATATAAATAAAAAAGTTTAGAATCAAATTTTTTTGAAAAATAAGAGGAGAAATCAAATTATGTTATGAAAAAATTGAAATGACTGCAAATTCCTCCTTCACAAATGCTCAATTTAATCAGCTATTCAACTTCCTAATACCTTTTTTTGTATTTTAATAACTTTTGAATACTTTTCTTTCACGTTATTTTATCGTAAAAGTAAAATTTTTCATTTATTTATCAAAAATGTTTTTTAGTATACTATTATTTTTGTCACATAAAAAATTGCAAATGCTACCATCTGGCATAATTTGCATATACTCTCTTTGATACTAAAAATAAATAGCAATAATCCAATATTTGTAGTAAATATTTGTTGCAGACAAAAGTTTAAAATTTACTCAAAATAATAAATCATTTATATGTATATCTTCTCTTACGTATACTTGCATATTTCATTATTAATACTTGGAATTATCATATTTTGCATCCCAGTTTTAAGAATTTGGGTTAGAATGAGAAGAAAGAAAGTCAACTAGTATTGTTTCTCGTTATGATTCAAAATATTCAAAAGACATGGAGAAATTGAACAAAAAGGGGATTCCTTGAGGGAATTTAACTTGACTTCTTTGTTAATGAATGAATACTCGCTGCAAAATTTTGACCTGCCCCTGCCCCTTCCCCTTCCCCTTCCCCTTCCCTTCCTATGTAAGAATCAAAAAATTTGAAGCAAGTGCAAAAACCTTCTGATTATGGATATTTTTGTATCTTATCTTTAATCACTTTGAGGCTCAACAGTATCCATTCACCCAAACACTCTGATAATAGTAATTAAAGAGGGTAGAATTAGAATTCACACTTTGATTGAATTATTCTTGATATTTACTTCACTGAAATGATGTCTTTTGTGATTACAACATTTTTTGTTTATTGTAATCAGAAAGTATTGTACAAATGTATTTTCTGCTATAAATAAATAATTTCAAGTTTGTTACTGATGAAATTTATAATAACTTTTGAACTTTATTATTATTATTTTTTAAATGTGATGCGATCATCACACTAATCATTTATTGATAAAAGTGAGTTTTTAATATCACTGATTATTTTTTTGCATTTTCTAAAGTTGCATAAGTTTTTCAGATTGAAAGTAAAGTACCGAAAGGTTCCCTTTTGGTAACAAATGGTATTAGTGCTATTAGACAGGTGCTTCATCCTTTGGCTTTACGTCTATCATTCAAACTATCAGCACTATTTTACAAATTTATCAATATTTCTCGGCACGAAGCGTTACCAATTCTCAAAAATTGCTCACTTGAAGAAGAATTAGCTTCAGTACGCGATAGAATTCGTTACTTATGTAAAGGTAAATCAATAATCACTTATTACTGGTATAAAAGTATTGTTATTGTTTACTTTAGTTTATAATCTAAAATGTATTATAAAACGTTGAATATTTCAATTCTTTTGGTTATTTTAGTTGTAAAAAGTTTTGTTAGTTTATAGAATGAATATTTTTTTTCTTATTGAACTGAGCAGATTTAAAGTTCAAGCTTAGTACAAGCTTCCCCGAACAGGTGTTGAGTTAAATGACTTTCTTGTTAGCTCAACTGACAGTTAACAAACAATTGACCTCCGTTAAATTTCTCTTTTTATTTTAATTCTTCAAAATTCAAATACAAAATTATTATCATGAAATAAAAATTCAGAATAAATGTAATTAATAATTGCTTTATTTGTTTTCACGTTTTACGCACTCAGTGATTACTTTGTATAGACTTATAATCATATTAATTTATTAAACAATGCACTTACTTTTAATTGAAGTGAAAAATAATATAACAAAACAATATAATTTTTTATATTTTTATCTATTCTTACTAGTGCGTAAAACGTGAAAACATATTAATTTATTAAAACTAATATAATGTGACAATTTTTCATAAATTCAATTCTTTCCACAATTATCTAAAACTACTATTACTAATCAGCAAATAGCAATCAAATGACTTCAGATGAAATACATGAAAACTGGAATTTATTATTTTAACTCTGAGTGAGTTTTTCTTGCATGTATCTTCACATGTGGTTTTTTTGTTGCTGAAAAAATCAGTTGACAAGAACGGCGTTTCATCTACATATCGCAGGAACTGTGAAAAGATATTAAACACGTCAAGGAAACTTTTGAATGAAAATTAAATTATAAAAAGTAGTCAATTTTAAATCACTGATATGATCAGAAACAATGTGATTGCGTTAAACTTACGAATGCTTGCAATTACTCAGAGCAAAAATATTTGTTTAGCAGTTATCTTTTTCAATCTGAAAGCAGAAAATACGAATGAATTTATAATTATTATTTTTTTGGAATTTATAATTATCAAAAATAACAATTTTCTATCGAATTCTCATGAATTTTCTAGTACAATTCATTCGAATAATCTATTCAAAATCCATTTAGTTAGTATTTAATAATTATTAATGATAAAAGTAGAAGAAGAAAGTTACACATTTTACGTAACTAATGATTACTTTTAAAATTTACAAATTTTTGAATGCAAAGATAAACCTTGCTGATAATCTTTTGAATTTAAATATTCTTCTCTGATAAATTATCATTCATTCGCTCAAATTTTCGAAAGTAACTAACTATTACTAAGTGACCTTTTTGCATCATTTAATTATTTTAAAAGTTTGATTTTCACACAGCGATTAAACATCCCTCCACATTTATATATACGTAAATAAATTTTAAATTTATAATTTTGCTTTTAAGTTATTAACTGCTTATTTATTGGTATATTTAATATGGTTATATAAGCAAAGTTGCATCAAATTTATTACTTTAAGATAAATGAAATACTTTTTACCATACTTCCGTAAATGTCAATAATTTGTTGAACTAACCTTTGCATGCTCAGATACTCAACCAAATTAAATTAAATAATAATGCTGAACTAATCCAAGTATTAATAAATATTCTAATTCCGAAGTTAAAAAATGTCTTATTACTTCTTTAAAAATTGAAAGAAAAAAAGTTATTTTTTAAAAAATAATCAAAAAAGGAGTGGATAATTTGTAATTAATATATATTAAAAAAAATAGTGGTGTGTGTAATGTGTGTATTGTTGTGTGTGTATTATTAACACTGACATTTAAAAAATTTTAATGTCCTACTTTGACAAAAACTAATTTTTGAATATAATTAATCAAAATGAATTTATTCCTTCAGCTAACGATAATTTCAAATTTGCTTCAAATGATGTCATCTACACAACTACAACATTAATAATTATGAATATTATTTTTGCATTGACAAAAAAAGCACTGTAAACTACAAAAGTGAAAGAAGTTTCGTTAAATTTATTTGCTAAAAATATTAATCACAAGTTGTAAATTCGTTTTGTGGTAATATGCTAAAAATATTTTAGTCTAAAAAGTATGAAACATTTTGCTAAAGTAAATAATGCACTATTCATCCAGTGGGTAACACTTCTGCCTTTTAACTATTCAAAAAAAACTTTTCAAAAATTATTACTGAATTTGAGTACTATTTTGTGTATTTATTTGTTTTATTAAATAAATAATTCAAAAGTGCTTGCAATTTTTATTTAATTTTGATCATTTTTTATTTATTTGTAAAAAATTTTTGCACAATTTTTTTTAAACTTTTATTATTTACAAAGTTTAGTAGAAAGAATTGTAAAAAACAAATAAAGAAAGAGACGAAATTTTAATCTCTTCTAAAAGTTACTAAAAGTTTTGTACAAAAAAAATAATTCATTAAGTTGTAAAGTAGAAAAAATGTTACATCTTTATTACTACAGAAAAAATCTTATGAGAAATTATTGTAAAGTGAATAAGTTAAAAAGAAGCAATTTGTCAATTTTTTATTGCCGTTTGAAAAAAAATTTAAATTAAAACATTTGAATTGCAAATTTATGCATATTTTTATGCATATTCATTTGCATTTAAAATTTGTCAAAGTTAAGTTTAAAGTTTTGGAAAATTAAAATTTGAGTAAAAGTTATCTCATTTAATATACCTTTTGCATTTTTTTATTACTTGAAAACTTTTAAGACTAACTAATTGCTACTACAAGCAAATGAAATTAAAACTACTCATTTTATGCTTCAAAGTTTAAACTTTTTAAAACTTCTAGCACAAATTTTTAATAGTAGAAACTATTATTTGTAATTTAAAAGTCTTAAGAGTTTAGAAATTTTTTCAAAAAATTAATTTTAGGTGGCGAAAATTTGAACAATTTTGTAGAAAACGTCAAAATCGGTCTACAAAACGCAATTTGGTTCGTTCGTTTATTGCTGATAATTTTTTCTTTTATTTCTTAATTTTGAAACTTAATTTTTGAATTATCAATTTTTTGAGCAATATTAATGATAATAACGATAATAATGACAGACAATGCAAATCATAATAATAGTTGTTCAAAAGATTATGTTTTTTATCAAGTAAAAGTGCTGCTTATTGATGATTAATATTAGTTAATATTTGGCTTATCAAGCCTATTTGCAAGTTTTGATCGTGATCGTTGAGAATGTTTAGCAAGAAACGATCACTGAGCTTTGATAAAAATTATAATTTATTGTAGATTTAATTCTGTCACTTTCTTATAATGCTTTATTTTTCAATAATTGTGATTATTAATATACTTGCTGTTAATTATTATCAGTAAGCAGCACTTTTGCTAGTTATACACTTTTTAATTATTCATTTATAAATAAAGTGACTACACTTTTATATTTTGCATTAGGCATTTCATATTCATTTGCTAATCCTTAAGGTGACCTCTCTTGCAATATTTTTGCATTAAAATTTACTTTCTTTTGAATAGTATTAAATTTTTGAAATAATTTAAAAGAGTTTATTATTTCACAGCTGCAAAATGCATAGAAAGTTTGTCTTTTCTATTAAATCTCTTGTCACTCTTTTACTTTTTTATTTTTTGAAATTAATTCAAATATTTAACAGCAAAGCTGTCCTCAAATATGCATTGTGAAAATTAGTTAAGCGCTAAAAAATTTTAATTATTTTTGAAATTTGAATAGTTGAGTTGTATGCAAAAATGAAAGCTATGATGTTAGAACATCCATGATTGTGATCAAAAATTTGTTGCTTCTGTTGCTTTTTTTTGTTCTATTCTATTTTAAAAAAATATTTATTTAATGACAGTTTTAGAATTAATAGAATATTCTAAAAGTTATAATTTAAAAGTTCGCTAATAACAATGTTCTAAAGTTATTATAATAGGTGATTTTGATCTGTTTCAGTCTACCTGAAACATCGTTAGATCCTGAAGTAGTCGTTCGAGCACGTGGGCTTCCATGGCAAGCAACAGATCATGACGTGGCGCAGTTTTTCATTGGTTTGAATATTGCTCCGTAAGTTTATAAATCTTTTTTAATTAGTTCAAATCTTATCTTATGCTTAACATTTGTTATTATTAAACGATTAGTTTACAGTGTGAATTAGCGGAAAGCAAATTCTGAAAATTATTACACAAATTCAGGTTATGTATTCAAAATACTTTTGACAAAATTTTACAAGCAGGAAATTTTTCTAATGTTCAAGCAATACAATAGCAAGCTATTTTAAAAAATCGTAAGTCTTTTGTAATAAAAAGTCTGCTGCTATATAATAGTATGAAAATCCTAAGTTATGTGATAGTGGGACTCTTAAGAATTTATAATTTTTTCATAAAAAATTTCCCAGAAAATTTGAATTTCTGTTTTAAAAAATTTTTGAATGTCTCCCTCAGATTTGCATTTAATTTGACATTTGTGAAAATGCTTCATAAAAATATTGACTTCAAATATTTGAAAATGATTGCGTTCTACTATTTTTTAGTGTGAGAATTATAATAAATTCTTATCAGGAAAAATGGTTAGATTATTCGATTTGCTGATAATAGTAGTAATATTGACAATAATAATGATTATATGTTATTTTCTGATAACAAAATACAAAAGATAAGGAATCATTGATTATTTTTAAAATTGTTGCAATGGACACAAAAGATTTCTTACAATTTATTTATACTTTTATTCATTCTAGTTTTTTTTTTTGCATAATTTTTTTTTTTTGATTGCAAAAAAATTCAAAATGTTCAAAATACAAAAATGTACACTTTGATCACATTTTGTATTTGGTTCTGAATGATGAAAAGATGTTTTTCTTTAGTATTCAATACAAAATTGATGATTACAAATTGTTAAGCATTCTTTAGCTAAGTTTAGACTTATTACGACTTTTTTCACTCTAAAATATCTTTTCATTCAAATACAGTAAAGATTTAACTCTATTAGCCTGAAAAGATAAATAAGTTCTAAACTTATTTTGGTTATGTGTTTTTTGTATTTTTTTTATTGATAACTTCAACTTTTAATAATTTAATAAATTGTAATCATTATTGTTGTCAAAAATTCTTAAATTTAATTATTTTTCAATTGTTGTTATAGCAATTTTGGTACACAAAATATGGTGTTTTATGTGTAATGAATAATTTTTAAACAACTTTGAGTATTATTTGTTGTTCAAATAGCAAAAGAAACGAAGAAATAGTATAAGAGTGAGAATAAATTAGAAAAATTATATCTCATTTAGATTATAAATTAAATTTTTTTTGGTCAGAAAAAACTGACAAGTGAATAAAATGTGAATGAGAAATGCAAAACGAGCAGAAAAAGAAATGTAAAATAAAGCAAACGAAATAAATCTTTACAGATATATTAGTAAAAAGTGCATTATTTTACGATTATTTAAAATTAAATTTATTATAAAAGATTTTTTTTAATTTTTTTAAATTATCAAAAATTTGCAAGTTTTTTAAACTGTTTGAAATTTCATTAATTTTTGAAAGCTATTTAAATTTTGATAAATTTCTAATTTTCAAACTATTTCACCTTTTTAAAACTATTTTAAATTACTTCTAAATTAAATTACTGTTGTAAAAAAATGAATTTTGCAGTGACCTTTGCCATTCGAGAAGTAGACAGTTTACAAAACGCTTTACAACTGATCACTTTCCAATTTAGTCAATTATTTTAGTTTTTGACTTTGTCAATCTTTGCGGTCTTTTGGTTTATTTCTAAAAGTTTACTTTTTGATCACTTTTATATAATAATTATTATTTCGCTTTATTCGAAGCAGAATAATTGTTTAGTGCTATTTTTTTAATGCTAAAAGGAAAAAATTCTAAAAGCTTTGAGCATAAATTAGAACAAGCCATTACTTTGTTTATCCTTATAAATCAACTTTAATTCTTTGCAGGTTTATTTGCAGATGGATAATTAATACATCTGCTTTTTTATTTAATTTTATAGCAAAATTTGCTTACATTTTAGACTAATCTCAAAAACTAGAAAGTATTTTTTTTCATTGCTCAAATAAGTAAATTATTTAGGATTTTGAGAATTTGGTGGCAAAAGGTCAAAGTATATTGATTACTTTTTAGTCTAAAAAAATGTAAGCAAATTTTGCTTAATAGAGTAAAGGCAATGAATTATATGCACAAATTTTGCTTTTTTTTATTCTCACTTAATTTATCCTTTAATTTAGATTTTTTCTCAATTCTTACTTAATTTATGATTAATATTTTGTTTGTAATATAAAGAGAGGTGATTGAAAAATAGAAGTAAGCGAGCGCAGAACAGAGCCAATACGTCGATAAAATAACTAATTAATTTTTGATTAAAATTCATTACTTTTAGAAAGCAAACGAAGTAAGTTCAAGGTTGTTTTGTCTTTTTGAATTCCCAAACTAGAAATATCGCAAAATGATAGTTTTAGTTTCAACCTTTGGAATGATTTGTACTAATCTTTTAGTTTTTTTTTTTGCAATTATTCGCGAAAATCAAAATTTTGTTTTTAGCGGTGGAGTAGCACTTTGCCTTAGTCCAGAAGGTCGTCGTAATGGTGAAGCATTAGTAAAATTTGAAGATTCTGAACAGCGTGAATTAGCCCTTAAAAGGCATCGACATTTTCTTCATAATCGTTATATTGAAGTATATCGGGCAACTGACAGCGATTTTCTACAAGTTGCAGCAGGTTCATCATCATTAATCTACATTCTTTTTTTGCTGCAAAATCTAATTTTTATTTTATTTATTGCTAAATACTTGCATTTTTTACCACGAAATTATTTTTTAACTAAAAATTGAATTTTTCTTTCAAATTTATTTAAATAATGTGGAAATAAATTTATCATCGATTAAAGAAATAGTGTTAATATATAATAATCACGATAATAATAATAATAATAATAATAGTGTATATTTTTGAAGTTTGGTCGTTTTAATGTTGGAAAGATCAAATTTAAAAATAGTATTTGCTGAGACTTGATAATTTTCAATAAAATTTTGAACTAGCAATAAAATAAAAATATTTGCACATTTTTGTGCTCAAAAATAGTTATATTATTAAAGAGGAGTGATAAATATATTTATCAACTTCTTGTCAGAGATTGCCATTCAAGTGATGCTTTTCTAAACTTCAAACTCTGTGTTTATATATTTAAACTAATGCTTGCATTTACTCAATTTTATTTTGTTTACGTCATTATTCTTTTTATCGTAAGTGACTTCTTTTTTTCAGAATGATATTTGTATGATTTTATCAATAAAACAATAAAAATATGAACAAAGTATTAGTCAAAATTATGATTATAGTGGAAAGTAATGAAATGTAATAACTTAGTAAATGCATAATGAAAATTATTAATGTCACTTTTTAAAATACTTTACTTAAATATAATTAGTCCAAAATTTATTACTGAAAATTATTAATGTCAATTTTTGACTTTCAAAATTTATTACTTCAAAAATATTTAAAATACTTTACTTAAATATAATTTTAAATTATTTTGCTATTTTACAAGCTAAAATTTATAATTACGATTTTCATGTTAGTAGTTTTTTGGAGGGAATAGTTACTATTTGCTTGAAAATTCATTCTTTCAAACAAATTTATTGAATATTTTGCATTGATAGAATGAATTAAATAATAATTAAGAAATATAAAATGAAAGAATTTATTGCGTTTGCTGTGGGATTTTTATTTTTGATTGAAAGTAATAAAGTAATCACCAAATATTTGTGCGAATTTTTGCGTCCTTCACGAAAATATTTATTTCTTTGTCATTAATACTATTATCAGTAGACTAACTTCTGAGGAATAATTGCTGCTTTATAGTTTTCGCTTACTGAAAACAAATTAACGTTTAGCAGTTGTACTATCAAATACTTGACTTTACCTAAGTTTTAATAGTTAGATAGGTTATGATATTTGAATCAATTTTAAGTTTTTATTTCTGAGAAATTTTAAATTATATCAAAAAGCATAATATTATTTAAAGTAAGTAAAGTCGAATCATAACACATTTTTAAGTAAATTATAAAAATAAATTAAAAATAAAAATGCAAAAAAATTTAAGTTTGAATTTTTAATAAATTTTGAATAAATTATAAAAATCAATTGAAAATCAACATATAAAAATTTAAACTTTAATTATCAATAATTTTTCAAAAATTTTTTTAGTAATTACACAGTTATACTTTATGAGCAAAAAGTTATGGCTGAAAATAAGAAGCAAATTCAAATTTAAATGGTAGCTAGCATTGACAGCTATGCAAATTATTAGCAAACAAAGTGTATAATCCATGAAGAAAAAAGAAGA